GTGAACACATGGGTCAATGAGAATATATATATATATATATATATATATTAAATTTATTATTATGAATTGAAAATTGAAAAATAAGATAACAGAACAACTCGATATAGATGCTCTTGTCACTATGGATGAGTGAGTCATGAATTAATTCCGCGTAATAATGCGATATATAATAAACAACAAATGTAATTAGCAATGTCTGGTTGGACATAAATTAATTAATTGAAATATAATAAAGAGGTGGTCAAAAAGATAAAATTTCGGAATCATGCTTTGGTTAGTTGATTATATCATGATCCAATATTATAAGGATCCTTTTTTCACTATTTTTTCCCATTAACTAATTTTCACATGAAAGAAGAATCGCATTTGGATTCTTTTAACCTGGAAATTAAATCAAATTATACATCACAAAAATAATTATCTTTCATTTGAATTATATTCTTTTTATATTTTAAAAAACATTGGTTACTGAATTTGATATTCTTATGATAAAGGGTTTTAGATTACCAAACTAATCGTTTCTTTTGAAAAATATCCATATTTCCAACTGACATTTAGCTAATGTGTATTCAAATGAATAGAAATCTAATGTAAAACTATAGATTTAAATAATTTTATGCTACATTATAAATAAATTTTGGATTAAATCTATACATAACCATAATGCTATTTCTTATTCTATAAAAAAATTTCGAAATTCGTTCAATTTTTTGCTAATATTTTCATAAAACCCTGTGTTTTTTTATTATTCTTAAGCTTACATGGAAAATATAGAAGCGATCGCATGTTGATCTTCTCTCTCTCTCTTTTTTTTTTTTTGCAATGATTTATTTATGTAAAGTTTTTATAAAACGCAGACATATGACACGAACACCATATTCCATAGATTCTATTACATAAAAAACATGTTATGATTGGCCGAGAATATCTAATAGTTTATATCCCAAAAATCTTATACAATATCTATTTTCTCTTTAATTATTTTCTAAAATATATATATATATATATATATATTCGGCGTAAAATTGATATTATTGAAAAATGTCCAGATGTCTTCCCATGAGTATGGACTTTCTAATATTCTGTGTAAACAGACTAGAGAACCTTACTTTCTTGCCCCATTTTTGAAACAACATTACGAATAAATAAACAAATATCTTGTACATACATTATATATTATATTGAAATTATTGGAAAATGTCAGCTTTTTATAAGCATGAAAAAAGGAATTGGAAAAGAAGGGAATAATTAAAAAAAACAAACAAATTGAGAATAATTTTCCCATTGATTTTTTTTTTCAGAAATAGCTAATGAAATTCACAGTTGATTTGAATTCTGAATTTTGTCAGAGAAATTAGATACCAACAGTTTTTTTTTTTGTGTGTAGAAATAAGGGAAAACATAAAAACGAAAGAAAAAGTGGATGTTAGGACAGTGGCATGTATAAATATTATATTGGATATTAGGACAGTGACATCCTTATCAGAGATTTTAAAAAATTAAATAATATAATTATATCTGTACTAAAAATATAATTATCTTTTATTTGATGGAAAATATAGATTTTTTAGAATTAAATATTTGTTTAACAAAAGTAAATTCAAATTGGATTAAATCGAATAAAATCTAAACACTATTTTGATTTCTATAAAATCTAAAAAAGGTTAAACAAAAAATGACTCAAGGAAAAATTGATGAATCATGAAACCCTATTTAATATTCATCTCAATTGTCTATTTTGTTAATAATAATAATAATGGTTTATTAGATTTGACATCACTCACAATTTTTTTTTTTCTTGAATATGAAAAGTCCAAAATAAAAAAGTTATTATTTCCATTGTAAGAATGAATCCGCTAGCCCTGGAAGTGTTACAGGTTTTCTACTTTCTCGTTTTTTATTGGCTCCACATTATACATTTTTTTTGTTGCTCATTAATAGAAAATACATTACTAAAATAATCTCATATCAACACAGAATGGAAAAAAATAAAAGAATTAATTATTTAGAAAATTAATTTCAAAGGTCAACTCATATAATGATTAAATTTAAAGGTCAACGCCTCCATACATTGATTGTATGTTTTGTACTCCCGGGGATCATGAATTCAGTGGCTATTTATTACTTCCTCGTTGATTTGATGCAATAAGAGAGGAAGACGATATCAAATGCAATTTCTCTAACGTTGTTTTCTTATTACTTACATTTTCTTAGCAAGACTATCGCGATAATTTAATTTTATAAAGTATATGCACTATAAAACCTATAAGAAAAATAGTGGACTGATCAACGGAAAACTATACATAATCATATTATATTTGAGATTCTTTTTCATAACCCAGGTAGATTTTTCGATATTATGCTATATATATATATATATATATATATATGTATGTGTGTGTGTGTGTGTATGTATGTATAAGCTATTGGATTTTTATTTTTTTGTAATTGCAAGTGTTTCATGAGAGTTGATTGATTTCAGTTTAGACCAAAATATAATATGTATTTCAATTTTATTTTCTAAAACAATAAAACTAAAATTGATTATTCAATTTTACCTTTACGATTATTCGAAATCCTTATCAAAGATAAAAAATAAAAAATAAAAAATAAAAGCAATGAAATGGTATAAACAGTTGATATTATATAGTTTAAATGACCAAAAATCTTGTAATATTTGTTTCTGTTATAAATATATGTAAACGAATACGAGATAAATTATCCACATAATTTGGGGAAAAAATCGGATATAACCAAATTAAATCATAGTTTAATTTCAACTATATTTGATCGAAAATACAATATATATCAAAATAAACTAAATCAAAAATATGAAGAGTGAAACATATTCCCTGATAAATATCATTATAGTTCAAACCATACAGAGGAAATTGAATTATATGATATTTTAAATACAAAATTATGTGGGATTCACAAATATTATAAGCTATTGCGTATTGAAGATTGATCCCCCCAATGCGTCATATTGAGGGAATACTTGGCGGTGTATTCTCTTGTCCTAATATATATATATATATATAAAGATCTAACATAAGGATGTTCGTAAGGATCATATTCGATCTTATTTCCTTTTCGGGTAACCAATGAACTTGAAAGAAGAAGCTTTTATCAACCAACAAGTTGATAATTTAATTGGCAACTTGCTCTATAGTCTATATGTTAGGTTAATGCTTTTTTTTAAAATTTTAAATGTACTATTATACACATATATTTTAAATTATATTGTAAAATTATATTTATATTATTTTTCTATTAATTTTTTATTTGGATTAAATATTTTTCATTAAAAAAATTCTAAAAAAATTATTTATATTCGCTATTTTATTTTATATTCAGATTTAATTCGATTACTTTAATATGGTATCAGAGTCGATAGTCTCCCAGCACAGTGTGATTCGAGGACGAACCAAACGGAAACTGGTGGACTTGTGATATCCCGAGCTATGATGAATGTTGAGAGTGTTCGTCGGTGTGATGACACGATCAAGGAGCGGCTCTCCGAGTACCACTAAGGCAAAAGAGATATATGAATGAATCAAACTCACCCGAATGAGAGAGATCCAATGACTAATATGAGTTGGACTATATGATATAAAGATAACATAAAAGAATTAGTTGGACTCATACCAACAAGGTACACCTACCTTTTCGGTTGACTATTTCGAGAGAACTCCAAAATTAAGCGTGTTAACTCTGAAGCAATTTCAGAATGGGTGATCTAGTGGGAAGTGTCTCGATATACGTAAAAATAAGGACAAAACACGGTGGAAAGTCCTGTGTTGTTATGTGAAGACAGTTTCAACGTTCGTAGCGGTCGTGGGTCGTTACACTATATCTTCCAAAAGATGAAGAAAATTCATATGAATAGACCACTCCAAGTGATTACTCGAATCCGGATTGAGAAAGAGTTTTGTTTTTTTCCTTACCGATTGAGTCATCTACTTTTGGATGAAGAATATCTTAATTTTGTATCAAATGTTGTACAACCATATAAAAAAAAACAACAAATTAAGGATTATTCCGCTGTTAGATACACGGATGCCTTGAATTATATTATCTATAAGAAGTAATATATTTGTAAGTATTCATTGTGTTAATTATGTTGCGTATTTATTCTTTGTATCCATTCGTACTGATTGATGTTGCGTAGAGAAAGGAAAACGGCTAGAAGTTCAACATCCCTCTCGACAAACGGCGTGAAGTTTGGTAGAGTCATATATACAATGGATGTGCAAAATCACTTGATCAAATATTATTTTAATTATTTCAATTTAATTTTGATACCATATAGGGAGCTTTTATCCTCCAATATATGACTAGGCAGATTGGGGTTATTTTTCATATTAATTGAACCTCTGAATAAAGAGCATAACCAATGTTCCCTCCACTAATCAAGAATTTTATAAATTAGCATTAGAGAGACAGAACAGAATCTTCTTTTGGGGTCAAAGATTTGTGAAATGGGAGAGATTTATTATAAATTCATTTATTTATATTCATATATAAAAGGACAAATGACGAATCCCTTTAAAATTTAAAACTGCAACTTCAGCTCTCAAATGGAAAAAAAAAAAAAAAAATTCCACCCACTGACTTATATTAATATAATAATTTCCTGAAAAAATATTTTATTATTGAATTTGATTTCGATTCGATATAATACAACTAACAGATATAATCGAATCATATAAATACAATTATCTCTCCAAACCAATACATCTGAAAGAAAGATAATCGAATAGCACGCATAATATATGATTCGAAATTATCTATTAGAAATATGATATCGGCGCTACTGTCTAATGATTTTCCGCAGCTGCGAATTTGTCTTCCATCTCTAACCATTTAGCTTTTTCTTTTTTTGTTTCAAATTTCACAACAAGGAATTTGCGTATTGCTGCACGAGGCTCCCCACAAAAGCTTCCTGCTCATCCAAATTCTGCAACAACAATTTAAACACATTAAATATATATATAAAAATAAATAATGCGTATATATATATATATATAATATTATATATGATTGAACTTGGCTCGTTTTGTAGGCTCTATACAGATTCCAATTGTGAATATATGATATTTGCGTGCATTTTTGTAATTTTCCCACGCCTCCGTGGCACTCCTTTTTATTTTGGCTGATATTTATATATGGAATGGACTTCCACGTATATCTTTTGGTCGAGCCCAGCATATATACATATATATATACACTATAGCAATATTCTCCAACGATTGTCCAAAATATTTGCTAAATATCAATCTTTTTCGTTCCCTTTTTTAAAAAAAATCCATGATTTATTTAGAAAAATGAGAATTTTTATAGAGATTATACCCAAAGATCGTCGTCGTCGTCGTCCCTCACAAAAGAAGAAGAGGTCTTGAGGGTATCTTCTGCTGCTTCGTCGTTTCGAGCGAATCTGCCACGTATACGCGGTCTGTTGTCCGCCAACGTTTTCCTGCATGCATACTATTTAAAATAATAATAATAATAATTAATAACAATTCATTATTACAATCAAACAAAAACATGTATGTAAGCATATATATACACACACACACCTTGATGGTCTTGGTGAAGTTTCTCTGGGTACGTTTGGCTCTGTACTTGGAGATTCTCTCTTTCCGTTCTTCGACGCTGTAACGTCCAATTCTGAAGTTTGGTTCCTCGGTGAATGGAGACGACGAGTTCTCACTCGAATACGACCTTTGACTTGCCAAATTCCTTATCGTACTCTGCAAAATTGTTACGACAAACAAAAAAAAAAGAAATTTTTCAATGCAATTGTAAGAAAACAGACATACGTGGAGCTCAGAACAGTGAAGAACACATCTGAAACAGAACAGAACCGAACAGAATGCTTGTGTTGATGTTCTCTGTATCGTATCTCTGCTCAAATTTCGAAACTTTTTAACACCAAACTGAAACTATTTAGATTTTAATCGAATATCATCTTTCTAGATTTCATAATTTCAGTCTGATGTTAGACGCGATCCGAGGAAGAAAGAAACAGAACATTGAAAAACAGGGGACAAGATGTGACCTGCAAGTCTCCCGTGCTGCAAACTCGTCGCATGTGACCAGATAAAAACCCGTTTTCAGGCGAGCTCAAGGTCTGGTTATGGAGATTTGATGGCTCCACCAGAGGATAATTGAACTGGAAACCGGGTTTCGCCTCGACGGAGTTGCTGCTGAAGCTCCTCTGCATATACTTCCCGACATTCTCGACGGCGCTGTAGCTTCGCGCCATTAGTGCCGCCGCCCCTGTCTGGTTATAGCCAGAGGCATCGAAGAACAGCTCCGTTTTGACATCGGAGATGCCGAAACCGGAGAAATCCTGAAACCCATTTGAAAAAACGGCGGAATTCGAGTGGATTGGCTGAGACAGCGTCAGGGATTCGAGCTGGTGACTTGGAGGGGATGAAGACAGAAGAGGAGGAGCAAAATGGTCGAAAAGACAGAGAGATTCATCAACTGGGTTGTAACTGTTGTCGGTGATCGAGTTGAGAGCATCGAGATAAGAAGGGTAAAGGTCGTTGTTGCGGAGAAATGGAAGATCTGTAGCTACCGTTGTGTCTGAAGAAAACATTTCTGGGCTTGAATGGCGGCAGATAGAGGAAGACGATGAACCACCACCGAAGATATAAAGATCAGACGCCATTGAAAAGCTCTAAAAGATTCTCGGATGATGAAGACAAGAAACAGAGAACAACAAAAGGAAACTCGGTTCGGTTCGGTTCTGTTCTGTTTTTGTTTTGTGTGTGTAATGAAACGGAAGCAGAACACAAGTGACACTCGTGATCTGTTTATTTAATGAAAATTTTACCCAAAAAAAAAGATTTTTTTTTTTCTTGTGAGTTCCTCTGTTTCAGAAACAAGACGCGACAGGTCTCGGCTCTTTGCCTGGCGGCCGACGTATGCATATATAACGGCAAAAATTGAAATTTACGTACAAGTCCTCTGATTTCTTATATGTTCTTAATCAGCCCGAAATAAGGTTTTTTTACATATTGACCTGATTCCTTTTTTTTTAAATATGATTCTTTTCGATGTATTCATACAGAAAGCCACTTGACCCTTTTGCTTACGTGATGTCAGCAAAAGATAAATTTTATATTCACCTTTTTATTTTTTTGTTATTAAAAATTTTACTATTAGAATCTAATTCTAACATGTTGGTGGGAAAAAAATTAAAAAAACGTTTGTAGATAAAAAAAAAAAGATTACAGTGAGCTATATCCTAGAATATACGTGAGATAAAATCCAAAAATAATACAACTGATTTTGACCTTTTTTAAAAATAAAATTTATTAATATCTTGGAAGACAAAAGTAAATCATTAAAAGTTTCTGACAACAGTAAATATCTAACAAACGTAACGTACGAGGCCCAAAAAATTGCAAACGAAAAGATTAAATATAATAAAAAAATTTATTCCTAATTTATATTTTTAAACATGATATCAAGAAGTTCAACAAAAAAAACATGATATAGAGAAATTAAATATTTATATTGATTTTTCAAAATATCCAAAAATTAGATGCATGCTTATAAAATTTGTACAAATTTATTTTAAACCAAACAAAATTGAAAGAAACTTATTGGGCAAGGGTTGCTTAAAAGGTACTTTGCATATCGAAGTGATTGAGCAAATGAGCCCAAAACGCTATACAGCCCAATGTGTTATAGTCAACTCTCTAATTATACCAATAAATAATGTGAAATAATTTAAAAGGTGTACAGAAATGCTAATTAAATTTGTCATTAAAAAATGTTAAAGTCTACATTGAAAATTTTAAATTCAACATGTACAGTAAAAATATAACTTGGAGACTACATTGTAAAAAAGAGGAGTGCATACACATGCAAATACATATATAGTATCATATATATATATAAGCGTGTGTCCGTGTATATATATATATATATATATATATATATATATATTTGTGTGTGTATTGTTAATTTATTGTGAATAATGCGGATTTCGAAGCGGGACAATAATTCATTTTCGGAAGTGAATTATCCAACTTTTTTTAAAATTTGGTTAGATCAACCGGTGAAATGAATAAGCAAAACGTATATTCTGTCCGAATTCGAATTTCAAGATTAGAGAGGAGATGTATATTCCAAATTATTCGGCTGACTTCCGATCTCAGTATTAGTTTTGACTTTGGTCCAGGACACCAAATACCAAAAAATAACTTTTTTTCAAAAGTAAACGAGGTTATAGAAAGCAAAAAGATTTTTTTTTTGTATAAAGGAAGCGAAAATATTTGAAGTTTTACTATATATTGTTGTCTAAATGACAATTTTTTTTCATGAAAAAATAATAGATTAAATTAAAACATTATTGAAGAACAATCCTCCACAGCTACCCGAGAAAACCATCTTGGGTAAGATTTCGAACACAATACCAAAGGATGTATAATTCAACGCAAGTTTCGCAATGCCGAATGGCTCTCATTTGGATGTGAAGCAAAGTCATATTGGGAAATCTGTCACGTTGATGTTGGATGAAACTATCTTTTTTGATGGGTTAAATGCGGCTTTTGGTGGTCTATATATGTATCGTGAAAAAGAAATGGATTGGTTTAGGGTTTGGGGCCATTGAAGTGAAGAGGGCATCTAACTTGTCCTAAACTCTAATTAAACCCTACTCTTGAAACAAATCCAACTTGCCCTCATGTGTTGGGATATATATAACGTGAGATAATAGAAGACTATGAAAAATCGAAATTCGGGTTTGAATTCACAAGATCTCTCGAATGATTCTATGATTTTGGCATAATCAAACGTGCAAACGTGATACAGGATGAGTATTAGCATTCAGACAAACACAACGCGACAATTGCATATGTATAGTTTTTTTTTTGATACATTGGAAACCCCGGCTGCTACCCTTCGGACGCGCTGACCGAGTAAACCCAAGCCCACACGCACAAGTCTGTAACACACGCGTGGGAGGTAAATCAGCCATAACTAACAGACGATAGGTAAGCGGGTAAGGAGTCGAACCCCCAACCTCTCGGTATGTTGACCATGCTCCTTGCCAACTCACCTAGAGATTTATCCGCATATATATAGTTGTACATATATATATATACATACATATATGTTTTTTAATCTTTAGGGTTTTGTGTTCTGCTTGCATTTTTCTCTCCAGTGACAAGAAAACCAATTGAATCTCTCAAAACATTACAACTAATTAAACATGCGTTTTTTTTTTGTTTCAAGACACAACACAAGACGATCAAACTCCAAATTTTTATTTAATTTTTTTCCCCCAATGGATGGATCTTACCTTTTGTTCTTTTTCTTTTTTTAAGCTGCCAACTAATGTTATATATTTACATTCATCCAGGAACCAAACTCGAAAGAAACTCTCAAGAAAAATATCTAAAAAATGAAGAAAATGAAAATATGTTCCCATTTTTCGGAATTAAATCATAAAAAAAACAAAAAAAAAAAGGAAAAGAAAAAGGTCTAATAAGACTCGCCGAGGAGTTGATCAGAAACTCCTGATTCAGACCAAATCCTCTGGTTGAAAGCCTCTTGAAGATCATCAGGAATGAATTGCGTACGACAAAGTGGACACGTCATCTGATTGTAACCCATCATCCAACGGTCCAGACAGCTCCGGTGGAATATATGTCGGCAATTTGTGAGCCGTCGGATCTCGTCTTCGTCCTCGAACTCGTACAGGCAAACGGCGCAGCTTTCGGACCCGGAGCTGGGTCGGTTCAGGTTCGAGAATCTGACCACCGGTAAGATCTCACCGGCTAGCTTTGCCTCCGGAAATAAGCATGATTCCGGTAGACACGTGGCGGAGGATGAGGAGGAGAACGGAGGCGGGTCGGGCCATGAAATGTTGGGTTCGAGGAAATCGTGTAGACCCATAACCCGGAAAACGGTGGAAATTAATTTTCGGATCAAACCCAAGAAAGAGAGCGCGTGAAGGAAGAATCCCGGAAGGAGAAGCTCCGTGTAACCCACCGGAAAACCCATAGCTCCGCCGCTAGAGAGAGAAAGAGGTGCGAAAAGGTGATAGTGTGGCAAGATGGAAAGTGGGGAGATGTGAGTACATGTATGATGTATATATATGCGTCTATACGTCGGATATTAATATATTCTTGTGGTATTCTTTCTAAGTTTTTTTTTTTGTTCCATGTGTTTTGAATTTTTTTTATCACTAAATATTTGTTCATCCTTAATTCATCATTTTCTAGTAATGAGTACAACAAATTGTGGTATATGGTTACACCTAAAACATATTTGATGATATCTAAATATATTTTCGCCTACAAACCTTTTCAATAAATCACTAAATCCAGTGATTTTCTTTCAAAATTCTAATTAAATTGAAATATCATGATTTTGGAAAATGAAAAATCTAGTGGAAAAAAAAAAGCTTATGAAATGTGGAGAAAAACATGGTGGGGGCAAAGGATTAAATGGCTTTGGATGGTTCCACGAATCAAAGTCACTAAAGAGCATAAATGAATATTGAAAAGAATGACAAGACACGGTCTCTGATTTTTTTTATTATTATTTAGTGCAATTTCAACGTCATATTTGTCTCCGTCCGTCCTTCATTATATGGACAATATCCACGTAATAATATAATATACATTTTAAACACACAAATAGTTGGCCAAAAATAATGTCAAATTTGCCTCCCCAACAAAAAATCAAAAGATAAAAGACATATTTGATATGGGATTTTTTTTTTTGTATAGGAATTTGAGAAAAAAATTGTAAATTGATATATTTTTTGTTAGATAAAAAATTCATGTATTCATAACTTGATTTGAATAAATTTATTTATTTATTTAGAATTTTCCCTTTTTAACAATTATAGATGTACATATAAATTTATCGCACGTGGAGATATATATAGATGTCTTTTTTTTTTTTTCCAGAGACATGCATGCATTGGAATATTGGTCCCCATGAAGAGGATCCTCCATTCACATGGATGATTAAAGTGAACATAAGAACAAAAACTGTGTAACCCTAAATGGCTCTCGTGCATGCATGAGTTCATCTTGTATTTATAACCTTCATATATCTACCTAACTGTGTATATAATCATCTGAATAATATATAAAACAGTAGATTTAGCTCTTCAATTTCAAATTTCATTTCAAATTCCTAATTAAACACCATATATCATATAGTAATGGACCATTGTGTGTGTATGTATATACATATATATATATATATAGAGAGAGAGAGAGAGAGAGAGCCATAGTCATATGGCGATCTGACTAAAATGTCTGAAAGTGCCAAAGCACCAGTGACCCACACACACTCTCCCCATCTTCTCTTCCAACATTTCACATTCACCCATTAACTCCTTTCTTGTTTGTGTGTGTGTATATATATATATCCACACACACATGCTATATATATATATATATATATGTATGAGAGTGTGTGTATATAGAGAGGGGAAGCGTCAAAAGGCGTATTAAAATGGAGAAACGAGGCATATCATTTTCCAGTATATTTCACTAACTGGCAGTTTTTGGAACTATTAAGAGACATATTAACAGGTAGGCCAGCTAAATCCAACCATGATTATCCCTTTCTGGGCATGAATATAACAATCATTCACGTCAATAAATAAATTAACCAAAAATAAAGATATCTTATGCTTCAACAAAATTACTCAATTTACGAGCATCTAGTTATACATAAAAATAAATAAAGATAAATATAGACCATATATATATATATATACCATATGTGTATGTTATGTATTTCTGTTGGGCACAGTTTAAAATATTTATATATTTTAAGAATGAAAATGATTTAGGGAAAATGACATTTTCCTACACCAATTTAGTAAAATGTGACCTTTTCCTACACGAATTTTTAATTTGACAAAAATCTACACTATATTAACAAATATCCCAAATCTATATACGAATTACCTAATTTTACTGCAATTTACTACACAATCTGAAACGGAGGCCACGTGGCGACTGACGTGGAAGGTCACGTGAAAAATTTTGCCACGTCAACACGCCACGTCAAATTTTCAAAAAAAATTAAAAAATTAAAAAACATAAAAATAAAAAAAAAATACATATATACATATACATACATACAAATATATTTATATATACACACATACATATATATAAATACATATACATGTATACATGTATATATATATAAACATATACGATGCATATATATATATGTATACAAAATAAAAAAATACATATATACATACATCTATATATATATGCATATATATTCATATCTATATACAAATACAAATATAAATATATATACTCTTATGTATAAATATATCTATATATACATACAAAATAACAAATATACACATATATATACATATATCTATACAAATTTATATACATACATATATTTGTGTATATATAAATATATTTGTATGTACATATATGTATATATATGTATTTTTTATTTTTTTATGTATATATAAATATATACTTGTATATCAAATTAAAAATTTATGTATATATAAATATATTTGTACGTATGTATATATATATATTTGTATAGATGCATGTATATATATGTGTATATTTTTTATTTTGTATGTATATATAGATATATTAATACATAGGAGTATATATGTTTATATTTGTATTTGTATATAGATATAAATATATATGCATATACACGTATAGATATATGTATATACATGTATTTTTTTATATTTTATATGTATACATACATATATGTATGTATGTATATATATATACAATATATATATGTATTGCATATGTTTATATATATACATGTATATATGTATATGTATTTATATATGTTTGTACGTATATATGTATATATATGTATTTTTTTTTTTTCGATTTTAATTTTTTTGATTTTTTTTTAAATTTTTTTGAATTTTTTATTTTTTTATATTTTTTTTGAAAATCTGATGTGGCGTGCTGACGTGGTAAAATTTTCCACATGGCCTTCCACGTCAGCTGCCATGTGGCCTTCCACATCATCAATTAACAGACATTTTAACACTGTTTCGGATTGTGTAGTAAATTGCAGAAAAATTGGGTAATTCGTGTATAGATTTGGGACATCTTATAATATAGTGTAAGTTTTCGTCAAATTTAAAATTCGTGTAGGAAAAGGTCACATTTTACTAAATTGGTGTAGGAAAATATTATTTTTCCAATGATTTATAATAATCTTTCGTCCTTGATCTATTAATTTAAATCTAGAATATATATATACATATATGCGTGTGTGTGTATTCCCACCATATGTACGGAGAAAACACTTGTTTTTCTTTTTTTTTCAAAAAGTAAATTATTAGAGAACATGCTATACTGTAAAATTCCTCAGAGTTTTGCATGTCAGACGCTGTCGTTTTGGCGGCAAGCCCAACCAAAGCTAATCAGATTTTTAATTATTTAAATCATTATTGCTTTTCTCTAGTTGTTTTCCACGTCATCACTATGTCAACACCTTTTTTAATTTATTCCAATTTAAATATTTAGATCAACATTTTAATTACTTTCCAAAAACTCTAAAATGGATTACCACGTATAAATTTGTAAAAGATATTGTAAAAAGTAGTATTTCAGCTTGTTTATTAATAAAAATGATTAAATTGTCGAGAAATATCTTGAGATTTGTTAGACACGGATCAATTGAAGATTCTCATACATATATTTATATATATGCATCATTAGATAAAATAAAACAGACCAATTACAGACTATATTTTTAACATTAATATTAAATTATATTTATATATATGTTCCACATAATAGAATTTAATCTACATGTTATGTTAAGACCAATTACTAACTCAATGTTGAGGAAAACAAGATTTAACAACGATTTTTTTGTTATAAAGGAAGTGGTAGGTACACATTAAATTGCAAAATTGTATTATGATTATCATTATTATCGCTTGCAATAAACTTTTTTTTTTATGTAATTTCCTAAAAATAGGAAAATGTCGCAATATGTTAATGATTGGTCATGACTGAAAATACTGACTTGGACCACATGGCTTTTCCTTTTTTCTTTCTCTGTCTTTTTTTTTTCCATTTCTTTCGGAGAGAAAAATCAAATTCATTTTAAATATATAGATTTCATTATATAAAGTATATATATATTTTTAATAAATTACAAAACATATTTCAATTTTAAATTAAACTGATATGATATGTTATTTAACAGGTAATGTCTGCACAAAATGACAAATTACTTATATATATATATATATTATGGGCTTATGCTTAGATCGTTTTCCCACATCAATTTGGACCCACGTTTTAGTACAAGTATTGATCTTTTTATTTATTTATTTTTCTTCAAATAATATGGGCTTCTGCGTAATTGAACTTTGTTTTATCAAATTCGGCCCATTAGTCTAAAGCAGAATAGCCCAAAATTTATATCAAACGTCCAAAGCAGTCAAAATTTAAATTGGATGTGCCAAATTCTAACCCAATGACAGATGACGACCCATTTCATAAAAAAAATTAAACTTTTACATTTTGTTATAATAAATTTATGCGCTGAATATGAAGTCTGTACATGCCAACAAATTTTCAAGAAATAAAACAAAACAACAAATGCATTACCTTTTTACAATAGGGACAATATATATATATACACACACACACACACACACATATATATCGTTTTAGTTTCGTCCAAATTCAACACATATAATATAAATTTAGCCTACTGACGAGTGTTCGTGAGAGAGAAATTCTGAATAATGTGGTCCTCTTCTCGCATCATTATCTCTCTGCAGCACAAGACTCCAAAAAAAAAAAAAAATACAATGACAGTGTCGTGGATGACGAGCAATTGGGCCTGGGTCCCGCCTTCTGGGCCCACTCTCAAGGCCCACTTTAATCATTGACTTGTCTCTCACCAAATCAATTTTACCCTTTCAAAACAAAAGAAAAGAAATTATTTGTTACGTTATTCACAACAAAATAAATAACATTTAATTCAAATTGGTTAAGCTAATTTTTTTAAAACTATGTAAAAAAAATAGTGTTTCTTGTCAGTTTATTTTTATGAACAACAAAAATCTAAATTATAATCATTCAGAAAAAATAAAATGGTAAAAGAATAAAATAAAATTGCCTGAATCATTATATGCAAATATGAACAAGCTTATTCAAAATTCAGGTAAATAAATTTAAATTGTTGGTACCCATGCCTTATCCGACAATGATGAGTTCGATGAGCAAATGATCATCTTATTTGTATCGAAAACATTTTTTCCTCTACATATATATATACACGTGTATCTCCGTGTACACTGACGCATACCTTCTTCCTCGTAATAATAACCATTAATTATTTAATTTTACGATAAGTTCATAGCGATAAAAGCCCATCCACTAAATTACAATACATGATTAGAAAACAATATTATATATTCAAAAAAATTCAAAAATCTGCACTAAGTTCTAAGCATCGCATTTATACCTTCTGGTACTACTAGTCACAAGACTCGCAACCACCTCTAAATCTCGGGTCAAGGTTACATCCGACGGCTCCCGTTACTCGACCCGATTACCCGACCCGATTTACTCCCTTTCTTTTTTCCCTCCTCAGTTCCCTGACTTACGTCACTACCCGGCAGTTCGATCCGACCCAACTCCGATTTCGTCGTTCAGGATCCGTTTCTCCTCCAGTAGTATTACTCCGGCGATGGATTTCACCCCGGCGACTGCGGCGAACGGGTATGGCTCGCCGCGTGAGCCGCATTTCCCTTCGAGCTTCACGAAGTTCAACTCCGCCTTGACGGCGGGGCTTCTGAACCCTATGTCTCCGCCGCCTCCGCCGCTGCTCGACAAGACGCGATCCAGTCCGACGC